TTTATGTCCCTCTGACCAAATTAGTATAGGTCTCAAAGTATGTCTGTTAAACATCCAAGAAGATTAGTTCCAGCAGTCTGGTCCTTTTAATTACCATGTGCCATGTAGATAGAGCTTGGCAAAGACCAAATGTTCTCAGATAAACCTTGCCTAGATATATATTATATTCCTTGAGCTAGTTGTATGTAAAATTTGTCAGTAGGTTGTTTGATTAATATGGTTCCCTCTGTTTTTTTTTTTTAAACTAGCTAGGCATTATTTATCTTTCGCATCGTCTAACCCTTCCACCATCGTTTCCCCATTTAAAGTGCCCCCATTTTTCCCATTTCTCCCTTAATAATACTCTTCTCCTGTGGCCTCACCTCTCTTCTGTCTCTTTATCCCCAAGGTTCCTTGTATAACCCTCCCTTACCCCTCCCCTTAAAATAACCCCATTTTTATCCATATCTCCCTTATTAATGCCTGTTTCCTACTCTTCTCTTTCAGAGTCTTTCTTTTCCTTTATCTCCCTGGTTTCTTTTCATTATCCTGGTTCCTGTAGTTATGTCTGGATACATACACACTTATAAGGATTTGGTGCTAGGATCCACATATGAGGGAGAACATATATTATTCTTCTTGTGTTTTGCACAAGAATCAAACCTAGGGTCTTGCACATGCTAGGCAAGTACTTTACTACTGAGTCACACCCCAGCCTCAGATTTATAGAACTGAAGTGTGGAGTGGTGGTTGTCAGGAGTTGGGAGAGGGGGAAACTGGGTTACTAATCAGTGGTCATCGGGTTTCAGTTAAACAAGATATGTGCTCCATAGATCTGCTGAACAATGCTGGAGGTTCCTATAATTGATAACACTGTGTTCTACACTTAAAATTTAAGGGGAATATTTCATCTAAATGTTCTTTTAATAAAATAAAATTGATAAAGTAATGAAAAAGGGACTAGAGAGATGCCTCAGAAGAGTGCTTACTGCTTGCATGTGCACACCTGCACTCATGTACATCACACACACACACACACACACACGCACACACACAAATGATACAGTATTTTAAAAGAGTCTGAGGTACAAAAATCCTCTCTAAATTAGGATCCTGAATTTAAAATAACTTAGCACTCCTGAATTTTTATAATACACTAGAAGACAAGATGGAAGTCCCTAACTTGATAAAATGCCCACCACATTCAGCAGTGTTCTGGAGATGGACAAATTGACAAGTTCATTGAATATGTATGAGCTTGGCCAGCTTGGGTGCAGGAGGGGATAGCCATCCTGATCACTGCTCCCTGCAGGGGCTGCCCTGCTCTGGCTGTGCACCAAGTCTGGTGTGGGGATGACAGCTTTTCCTGTTAGGTAAAGCCTTTGTAATTGCCTATGGTCAGGCCTGAAGGATGCTGCCTAAGATTTTAGGGAGTTACTGTAGTCTTCTACTTCAGCCTTTGATTTTTCAAAGCTCAAGGGAGAAACAGGCTACTCCAGTATGGATCTAGATGGGTAGGTCTTTAAGGGCCTTTGTGAAGAGTCAGTGTCTTAGATAAAGCAGTGCTTGTAATGACCTCAGCAAGGGTCAAAGATTGCCACAATGCCCTCTAATTAAAAGACTCCAGCAATAGGAACAACCTCTTGCAAAAAGTGTGATCCAGTCAACGAGAGATGCTTGGATGTTGGATTTCTCTTTCAAAATCTAACTTGGATATCTAACTTTGTAGTATGAATGCTTTCCACAAATACTTAATTCTGGCTCCCTGACTGGTAGTTTGTGAAATTGTTCCCTTCTTCAGAGTGGCTGGAACTTGGGCAATGACTCTTTAAACATTGTGTGTGTATGCTTTTCTTCTTTTTTTGAGCCCTAGGGTCTTATGAGCCTAGGCTGGCCCTGAGCTGGCTTCTGGTTATCCTGCCTCTACCTCTGGAGTGCTGAGATTACAGCATGCACTGGTTTACACACCAGGTTTTCAAGGCACTGAGGACCAAACCCCTGGTTCCTGCCTGGGGGGACAGCTACTGATTAAACCACATTCCTGCCCCCCCATCAGAGAGATGGGTGGGGGTGGGAGTGAATGAGGATGCTGCCCTTGAAGAGTTGGCAGGGGTCCCTAAATGGAAGGGCTGAGGTAGGCCCTGGCCTCAGAACTAAACACTCAGAGCACCTTGGTGCCACTGCATAATTAACTCATTTCCCTGCCCACACCCCCAAACATTTCTTGCCAGAATGAGTCATTTCGGTTCTCTGGGTTAAAGTTTACTCTCTCTAGTTCCTTGTGCTGAGCTTTTCTTTTTCTCTTGCTGAAAGCCAGTCTGCCCTTCAGCAGAGAGTAAAGTTTTGACAGGTTAACTTTCTTCATCTGCCCTGATTGTGGAGAGCCAGGCTTCTTAAATTCACTAGTATATTCTGGGCCTGGCAGGGGAACAGGAAGTGAGCTTGCTACAGCAGACAGTGGGTGGAGTGACTGAAAGCAAAAGCTGGCCCGCTGCTTCCCGGGTCCCGGTGCTGCCAGTGTGGTCCCTGCTGAGGAGGAGACTGTGTCCCAGTGCCTGACCTCCCACATTTGAGCTCACAGAACTGCGCTGTTGACGGGCTTGTGTCCCGGGCTGTGCAGGGACTGGTAGAGCAGGTAAGTGCCCGGTGCAGTGCAGAGCCTAGGTTCTCTGGCGGTGCTGAGAACAGACTGCTGGGGACATGGCTGCCCTTTGGTCTGGATCCCTCATGGCACTTCCCAGAAAGAGCTAATATCTGCAGGCACGTGCCTCTGCTTCTTTTCTGTCCTCACTCTGCCTGGCTCAGATTCCGGAAGACTTTACTGTTGCTTGCTTTCTATTTCGTTTGCCTCTGGGGCAGGGCGCTGAGTTAATCTTTCTGATGCATCGAAGTTCTTAGTACTCTAGGCCACCCCACACCTTGGGACCTCAGCCTGTCTTTCCCCTAAATTTACAAAGACAACTCCCAAATATTGTCTCTCTCCCTCATCTCCCTCCCTCTTCTTTTCCTCTTCTTTTACACTTCTCCCCTCCTCTCGCCTTCCCCCATTTTTCTTTTGTCTCTCTGTGTCCCCCCCCACATTTGCCCCAAGATTCAGAAAGGTTGCTGCTCATGGCTCCTGTGGCTTCTGTGCCCCTTTACCCAGGAGGCTAACGTAAAGGTGACCCACAGCTGATCCCTCAGCTGATGTTTAGTTTTGTCTAAGAATCCCAGTGATGCTACAACAGAACCAAACCCACCCACCAGGACTTCATAAGGCTTCCCCAGCATCCTACATAGTGCAGCCCCTGTACACTACCAACCTGCTCTTTTGAGGCTTTCAACTTGAAAGCTTTTGCCGATAATATGAAAACAGTGAGTGTCTCCTTGCTTTATTTTACATTTCCCAGGTGCACTCATTCATTTGAGTATGCCGTCCTCCACTTCAGTGGTCTGCATGCCCATATCAGGGAACTCCATGTTCATAGCCCTTACGCCTCTACAGAGTTCCCTCTCGTTGATTTGCAGGTGGTTGTATAGTCCAGATCTTATTATGAAAGTTACAGTTGCTGCCCTCAGGAAGTTCACAGCTGAGGATAAGAAGTTTTCATGCAACAATGGGACAGAACTGAGACGGAGGCTATGCCTGATGCTGGGGAAACCACAGGAAGTCCCAGGGTGGATTTAGCCACAAACAGGATTTGATTTTGTTGTTGTGGCCTTGCCCGATTCTTGGACAGAATCAAATACCACCTAAGGATACTGGTATTATGGGGTCACCTTTACCCAGCCCTCCTGGGTGCAGAGGCACGTTTAGACACCTCATTTCACCCTCTCAGCTCTAAGTTGGGGCCCTTTGCTCTGAAAACATTCTGTTTTGGGAAACAGAGAACACAGCTTCAAAGAAGAGAGATGCTTTTCTTTTTCTTTTTAACAGCAAATAATATTTCAACTCATTCACAGTAAGGAGCTCATGGGTTTGTTCCCTGTTATAACCCTGGAGCCCTACATGGTGAAGGGCTGAAGGGCCCAGGGTTTGCCTCACTGGTGAGACTGCTGGAGGAAAGCCTTGGATTTGAGAGTTCTTTTTTTTTAAATTGAACTTTTGTGAATTTCATACAATACATTTTGATCATATTTAGACCCCCTCCATTATCTGCACCCTCACAGCCCCTGCCCCCCACAAGACTTCATGCATTCTGTCATATGGTACTGAGCCAAGTTTGTGTCCTCAAATGTCCCTTGGTGTGAGTCCATCCACAGGGGCCTGATCAACCTATCTATCATCACTCCCTTAAAGAAAACCAACTCTCCCTCTCCCAGTAGTCATTGGTTACCAGTAGTTCCTCAGCTAAGGTTGAGGCTTTTTACCCATTTCCCCACTTCTATGCTGGGTTTTTGTCTGGCTTGAGCTTGCACATGTCTTGTGCATGTGTCACCATTTCTGTAAGTTCCTTCCCAGCCACCTGGGAAGCTGTTTCTTTGTGAGATTTGAGAGTTCTTTAAAGCAGCCCAAATTGGGAGCCATGGCATTGGGGCCAAGGGAGCATCCTTGTGTATGTGGAGAGAGTTAGCTGTGGGAGTTGGCAGACTTTCGGAGTCCAGGACTGTGGCCTCTCAGAGGTGTTTGATTGGTGTTTATGGAATGAAAACTTTATAGTCTTAATGGTTAACCCAGAAACATCTAAAATCTTGAACTATGAAAAGAAAGCATTCTTGGTTATAATCAGTCCACATTCCTCATTTGGATTGAAGAAATGAGGCCCTAGGAGTAAAATGACCCATCTAAAGTTTCAGCCAGGAGGCTGGAGAGATGGCTCAGTGGTTAAGAGCACTGCTGCTCTTGCAGAGGATCTGGGTTTGGTTTTCAACACCCACACGGCAACTAACAACCATCCTTAGCTCCAGTTCCAGGGGGGCTAACGTCCTCTTCTGGCCTCCTTGGGCATTACATACATGTGGTGTATTGCCATACATGCAGGTAGAACACTCATATACACAAAATAAAAATAAATATATTAAACAGTCTCAGCCAAGTATGGTGTTGGAGGGTGTGGTAAGCAGAGCTGCCACCAAGGGTCTCCAAACCAGAACCTGCCACTCCCAGGCTCTTTTAGTCAGTTGATAAAATTTTAGAAATTCATCCATTTCTTTTATATCTTCCAAGTTAGTGGAGTCAAATTTTTAAAGGCATATCCATATGATTTTCCTGAATCCCACTGGTATCTATCATAATGTCTCCTTTCTGCCCTAATTTCATTAATCTGGGCTTTCTCTCTCTTTTGCTTTCTTTGGCTAAGGGTTTATTGATCTTCTTTACCTTTTCAGAGAATCAACTCTTTGCTTCTTTTCTTCTTTTGCTTTTGTTTATTTGTTTCTATTCATTATCTATTCATTAATTTCTGCCCTGATATTAATTATTTTTCCCATCTATTGCTTTTGGATTTGGCCTGTTCTTGTTTTTCCAAGGCTTTAAGGGGTTTCATTAAGTTATTAATTTGAAACCTCTCTGATTTGTCATTTATTTATTATCTGCATATGTATATGTGTATGTGTGGGTGTGTGTGTGCCATGTCACATGTCTGGAAGTCAGAGGACAACTTGTAGGAGTTGGTTCTCTCCTTCCACTGTGTGGGTTCCAGGAGTGGAACTCAGGCTTGGTGGCAAGTGCCTTTATCTGCTGAGCTGTGTCACAGGCTTTTCTCTGATGTTTTAATGTATGCTTGTAGCTATAAACTTCCTTCTTAGGACTGCTTCTATTGAATCCATAGCTTTTAATATGTTGTGTTTTCATTTTTATTTGAGTCTAGAAATTTTCTAATTTCCTTCTTGATTTCCTCTATAACCTATTCATTACTTAAGAGTATGTTATTTTATCTCAGTGAATTTGTATATTTTCTTTAGTTTCTCTTTTTCTTGATTTCTAGCCCTATTCCGTCATTATCAGAATAAAGAAGTATTTTCAGTTTTCCTGTATTTACTGAGGCTTGCTATGTGTCCTCTTATATGCTCTCTTTTAGAGAAAGCTCCATGTGCTACTGAAAAGAATGCGTATTCTACAGTATTTGGATGGAATTCTGTAGGTGGCTGTTAGGTTCATTTGATCTATGATGTCATTTAACTCAGATGTTTTCCGTCTATTTTTTTTTTTTTTGAGATGACCTGTGTATTGGTGAGAGTGGAGTGCTGAAGTCACCCACTATTACTGTGTTGGGGTGAATCTGTGACTTTACCCCTAGTGGTGTTTGTTTATGCACCCATGTTCAGTGTTTTAGTGTTTAGAACTGTAATGTCCACTTGATGGATTGTTCCTTTAATCCATATGAACCCTTAATCCAGATAAAGTGACCTTCCTTATCACTTCTGATTGGTTTTGGTTTGAAGTCTATTTTGTGAGCTAATGAACAATGACATTTACTTGTTTCCTAGGTCCATTTGCTTAGAATACCTTTTTCCATTCTTTCACCCAAAGGTAGCATGTATCTTTGATGATGAGGTGCATTTCTTGGTGACAAGAAAGAGATGGATCCTGATTTTTCATCCAGTGTGCTAATCTGTGTCTTTTGTTTGGGATATTGAAACCATTAATATTCACAGTTATTATTGAAAGGTGTTGCTCAGGATATAATAGTTGCCAAATGAGGCCTCTGAAATTAAAAAGCTTCTGTACAGTAAAAGAAATAGTTAACTGAGTGAAGAGATAGCCTATAAAGTTGGAAAATAACCTTCAAAAACTATTATGTCTGACAAAGCATTAATACCTAGACTATACAAGAACTCAAAAGCCTAAACAGTAAGAAACCAAACAGCCCAATTACTAAATGGGATGATAAAATGAGTAGATGGTCCTCAAAAGATCAGCTACAGGGCTAGGAAGATGGTTCAGGGGATTAATGTACTAGCCACCAAGCTTGACAACCAGAATTCAGCCCCTGGGACTCACATGACAGAAGGAGAGAACCGACTCCCTCAAGTTCCTGTGATCTTCACAAGTTGCATGCACGCTCCACACTCCCTAATAAATAAATAAATGAATGTAAAAAAAAATGACAAACGAATGACCAAGAAACACATGACAAAAAGTTCAACTTCACTAGACATCAGGGAAATGCAACTTAAAGGAACACTGAGATTCCATCTTACCTTAATGAGACTAGCAGTCCTTAAGATAACAAGTAACCATAAACGCTGGCAAGAATGTAGACAAGAGACCCCTGTTGGTGGGAACGTAAGCTTGGCCAGCCCCTATGGAAAGTCAGTACAGAAGTTTCTCAAAAGACTAACAGTAGGTCTACCATGTGACCAGCCCTACTACTCCTATACAACTATACAACTCCTGTATTTGCCCAAGGGACCCCAAGTCGACATATCATGGAGATATTTGCACATCAGTGTTTACTGAAGCACTATTTACAGTAGCTAAAGTATGGAACCAACCCAAGTATTCAACAGCAGAGAAATGGATAAGGAAAATGAGGTATGTGTGCACCACGGAATCTTTTAAAGCCTTAAAGAAGAAAAAAGTTACATTGCTTGCAGGAAAATAGGTACAACTGGAAACAATCTTATCAGGTAAAGTGAACCAGTCTGAGACACATACCATATGCTTTTATCATTTGTGGTTTCTCAATTTTATAGAATCACGTACTGTCATGT